ACAGCTTGCATTATTTGACTTTGACATTATACAGACCTGGCAAACATAATGCAAACGCCGATGGACTCTCGCGAATGTTTGTGGTATGTACAAACATATTGAGCTACTACAAAGAGCGCAGAGTATGATATTACTTCTAATGCTGTGACAAACACATTACCTATCATGACTCATGTGGAGTTAGAATTAAATCAACTGGAAGATGTTGAGGTCGCCCCTGCACTTTCCTACAGAAAACTACAGAGAAAGCCAAATAGGAAACAAATAGACAGTTTGAACAGTAGGGCTAAGATGATCGTGAGACAATAGGATAGACTTTGTGTGAGGGAAGGTGTATTTTACCGTGTAGTGAAATCGTCTAATTTAGACCCAGTCTACCAATTGGTCCTGCCAGTTAAACTGCGTAGATCTATCTTTGAAGCTCTTCATGACAATATGGGACACCTTGCTTTTGAGAGGACACTGGACCTTATTCGTAGTAGGTTTTATTGCCCACAGATGTACACACAAGTGAAAGTGTGGTGTGAGGAATGTAAACGATGTTGTTTGCGCAAGGCTGCACCAGTGGCAGACAGAGCACCAATTGTGAGTATTCATACTTCTGCGCCCTTGGAGCTGGTATGTATGGACTTTCTAACTTTAGAGCCATCTAAAGGCGGCATCAAGAATGTACTGGTTCTTACCGACCATTTTTCGAGATATGCACAGGCCTACTCAACACCAGATCAGAAAGCTAAAACAGTGACCAAATTACTGTGGAAATACTTCTTTTCCAAATATGGATTCCCCAAAAGACTACACTCAGATCAAGGTAGAAATTTTGAGAGTGCAGTCGTCAAGGAGCTTTGTGAGATGGCTGGGATGTCCAAAACCCGTACCGCACCTTATCATCCGGAAGGGAATGGCATGACCGAAAGATACAATCAAACTCTCATGAATATGCTAGGCATCTTGGATCCATCACAGAAAACAGATTTGAAGGAGTATCCTGAAGCAATGACTCATGCATACAACTGCACTCGTCACGATTCAACAGGTTACTCTCCGCATTATGTATGTTCGTCACCCAAACCTTCCAGTAGACCTGATTTTCCACACTGACAAAGCTACCAGCCAATCTAGTGTGGGAGTAGATCCATCAGATTATGTCAAATCTCTGCAAGAAAGACTAAAAATCGCCTACAAAACAGCAACAGAACATGCAGACAAAGCTAGGGATCGTCAGAAAACGAGATACGACAAGAAAGCTAAGGCTATACCATTCAATACAGGGGACCGTGTGCTAGCTAAACTAAAACAAACTGGCAAGCATAAGCTTGGTGACAAATGGGAATCTGAACCATATTTAATAGTCAAACAACTGATACCAGACTCGCCTGTATATGTTATACGGTCAGAAACTGGTTACAAGGAGCGAACCCTACATCGTAATATGCTAAAAATTTGTACATTCCTACCTAGTAATCTAGATGTTCCACAACAAAAGAAGACAACCTGCCAAGAACGAACTCCAGATATAGATGGTCTGAGTGATAACGAAGATGAACCTAATGGAGATGTTGTTGAAGTCTCTGTTAGCCAGACTCCACTAACATCCATTCAAACAGATATAACCCCACACTTCTCTGTAACAGAAACTACCTCAACATTGAACAATGTCATTCAACATCAGCCAAACCCAACTATACAGGCTGAGCTACCAATTGTCACAGGTAGCCCAACTGTTGTAACAGAGCAACCATCACGCTCACCCTCAGAAACACAAATAAATGTGACAGAATCTTTACACAAGTATCCACTAACTCAACTCAAGATCTCCCACCCACACTAGCAAGTAATACATCATGCCAGAACTCTGGATCAACCTCAGAACCAATTCAACGTTATCCACAGCGAGTTAGACAACCACCTGCGGGATTTGCAGACTACCTCATGTCAATGTTCACAAAGTCAATCGGAGAAGCTAAAGTGCAAAGTGTTTAGCCTTGGGATTAATTAAACGCCGAGGACGTCGTTTCGACAAACAGAGGGAGGATGTGACGAGCTGTTTGGGACACCCCTTTAATTTTATTTATTATTATTTATACAATGCCAAAACGGAATGAGTGTACCACAACGGGACATAATAATTCCCTGTAGACTCATATAGAACAGAGTAGTCCACCCTGTTCTATTTTCGATCCGCCCGCAACGCTATGCGGCCGAAGGTGTTTGACCTGAGTCACGTGGTCAGGAAAATCCCCTAATTGGGCCTCTTCCTGCTCGATGGCGTGAAACTCAGGTTGGTGTTACACTATGACCGTTCAAAAACTGCTTTATTTTCGCTTTCATTATTTGCATCTGTAATTCAGCCTTTCAGTATTTGTACAGTATGTTTTAAGGGATTGATTTGACGAGATTGTAGTTATTTCTGTTCAGTTTCTGTCATTTAATCGTTATTTTTAGAAGCTACACGCTGTACTGTGTTATCAATGAAGCTGTCGAACGATAACTTTCATAGACATTGAACTTTATTTGCTTCGAGATACTCGCTTTTTATGTTGTTTTGATCATGTTTTCAGTACCAGTTATATTCGATTCAATGTCACTTGTTACTCAACTTGGGATATAACTTTTGCTATAGTGCAGGTTACTATGTAATGAACGTGATTGTGTGAAATCGTGGGCCGACGTTATCAGTGGCTGCTATGACGATACACATTCAACTCTTACAACCAGCGTGTCATCGATGCTTATTTTTGCTTTTGTTTTTATTTCATGTGAACCCATTGTGTATTGCTCTTCCTGCTCGACGGCGTGAAACTCAGTCAATAAAAGTTATACATAAGCACAACCTGGATCTAGAATCTATTATTTTTGCTGACACTCCCCATTTATGTCGGAAATCCGTGTCATAAACAAATAAATAAATAAACAAATAAATAAATAAATCTTACTAGTACAATACTTACTAGTTCCTACTCGCTTTTCCACGTCATGCTGCGTATTGTCAGTATGAAGGACCTATAAAGAAATAATGAATTGACAAAAGATGATGCTTTCAATGTTATTGAATAATTTTCTCGGCTAAATACAATTAAATGTCTTATACGTTACGTGACTCCCATCAACATTGATATGAGTAATGATGTATTTACAACAGATAATCGGCTTTGAACAAGTAAAATGGAAATGACTTGCCATAGAAATTGTAGAATAAACTTGCCACACTAGTATGAGAGTAAATATCCACACACGAACCATTTTGTACCTGCACAACATTAGCATATAGTAAATACACTCAGTAATATTTTATACATTAAACATTTCATTTCTGTTGGTGCTATTATGGGCTGGTCATTTTCTTCACCTCGAAGGGCCGCGATGAAAGACAAAGGGTGTCTTTTCACTAAAGTAACATGTAATAATCTT